ACTGTATCAGCATGATAATTCTTGGCTGTGTAGGCGGCTCCCCCTCAGATACGCCCACGTTGCTAAGTTGGGATTTGTCTTTGGATTTGTGAACTGCTGTAAACCAGTGGCGGAGCTGAACCCGGGCCCACACTAGTCGCCTGACTAGGCCCACACGGGCCTAGGCGCGCCCGGGCATCAAAGCTCTGTAATGAGATTCATTAGATGCAATGTAAACAATTTCTTGCCCAAAGTTTAGATAAAGCTAACCACAAGCCTCACCAGAGTACTAACAAGTACATACAGGTGTATAAGGAATTAGCAAGCATTTTCAAGTAAAATACCCAAAGAAAAAGTATTATAATTAAAAAGCATCTATGGAAAAAGCTAAAAACAGGACACACCCACATCCGGGCCCGGGCATCAGCTTAGTTCCAGCTCCGCCACTGCTGTAAACTGCCATTAATTGCTGAAAGCTAAGCCTTGAGCTCTTGTTATCAGCTGCTGCAGTTTAAAGACAGAGGCAGGTTATTCTCTCTATCTTTGTATCCTCAGCTCAAGCCCTTCCCTTGTGTTTCATGATGGCCGAACCTTTGCTGAAAGATCAGGATGATGAGAGTAAGCTGCTGTTTCTAAAAATAGTAGCAATATATTTATATTTATAGATTTCGAATCAGCTGGTTTCTTCATTGAAAGATCCACCGATTTATCAAAATTATCAGATAAAAGTAAGTAATGGAAATACATGTACATGTACAATATGTAAATGCATTGTTAGTTACGCCAAGAGTAAATAATACCTAAAGAGAGTATCCAACAGCCCTATTGAGGCCTGCTGCAAGTGTGTGGATTCCTAGGAAGTCACGTTATGCATACTTTACTTCAGTTGTTTTCAATCAATGTTTCTACCATGCCTAGTTGCAATTGACAAATCAGATTGCTTGATTTTAGGTTCATAAATAACTTATTTACCACTAGGAGGTTTGATAAGTAATTTCCCTGGTAATAGGAGGTTAATAAGTTTGTCCGGGAGGTTAATAAGTTTGCCCGGGAGGTTAATAAGTTTGCCCAGGAAATTACTTATTAACCTCCTGCTAAAAATAGGCATGCATGCAATGCTGTTGCTAAGTGTTGCTAAGTAAACTAGTTGTTTATTTTAGTACATGGTAGAAGTTGGTTATACAACTCTGCAGAGGCGTATTTAGGGGGGGGGCTGAGGGGGCTTGAGCACTCCCCTCAGGGCTGGACTCAGAAAAAATTACTGAAGTCCTGGACTCTTGCATCACTACCAAGCCTCTTAACAAAGTTATCTAGCCCCCTGATCATGATTTCAGCAGTTTCCAGTGCTTTAAGGAGCAATCAGAAGTACTCGGAAATGATCTTGGCCCCACCCATAATTATTAACGAAAATGCAGGAAAAGGCTGTTTTACCGCCATAAAAGTGGGTGTGGCCATAATCACGGCACGCTTCGCGCGCCCTTAGCACCCCCTTTTCCCAATTCTTAGATATGCCCCTGTTCTGTGTCGGTATCTATGGCCTTATCATACCTCGGGCCTATGGCCCTCAGTATGATAAATGCCATAGATACCTCACCTCGTTGTATAACCTATACCAAGAGTAGATAATAATAGAAGAGAGTGTCCTACTGTGATATACCCCCTGCTTCATCACGGCGTAGAATTGAAGAGTCACATTCAGGATATTTTCAGTATTCTTGAGTAG